CTATGTACAAGTCTCCCGAATATCGCGTACCTCTACTCAGATAAAGGGAAGCAACCCCTTCACACGAGCGCCATCTGGCGGCGGGTGCATTTATGGCTAACGATTTATTATCCTTATTTGCAAAATCTTTAAAAATAATGGATGGAGTCGAGCTAAGGGTTTGGTCAGCTTTGGTAGGTTTGTCGGCTTTAGGTTGGGTATTACCAAAATGTTTGTCAAATCAATACCTAAACTCAAAAGTGGTTTTGATGGCTTGTGAGCAATCTTCTAAAACAAACTTGCGTTCATATGAAGGCTTTCTCTATTGAGTTGGAAGCCCTTTCTTCTACCCAAGTGGTTCTACATGTAAGGAGTACAATACGGAATGAACTAAAGTGAAAGAATTTTTCGCAATTCGAATTCAAGTGGTAACAACTAGCTCATAATCGAAGAGTGATATATCGGGCAATTATATCTCTTCCGTTTCACTTCCTGCCACTGAACTGCAGACAAAATGCCATTAAATATTAATCGCCAGCTGTGGCGAGCGGGGAAACCACACAGTGTCCCACAGAAGCTGTGACCCACATCGGCAGGACGCGGAAGCGCGCTGAATGGAGCTCCCGCTGCCCCACATGGCCCAACTCCGCCCATTTCATTCATGAGAAGCCTCAAAGCGAGGCCATTGAACCGCTGGGAAGGAGCTAATCAGGGAGTTTTCGCTGGGGGATGATGGGTGGTGGGTCGCGTTTGGGTGGTGCCTCTGTCCAGCAACAGATGCCACAGATAGAGAGAGAGAGAGAGAGCCCAGAAGAGAGAGAGAGAGGCTGACCAGGTGGGCCACCTCATTGTTGACAAACAAACCTGTAGCCGCTGGCCAACACGTGGCGTTTGCTCCCATGGCGGTGGTGGTGGTGGTGGTGGTGGCGTTGGTTCGGGTGGCTCCAAAGCGAAGCTACCAGGGCGCATGCTCCGGATTCGGGGACAGCTGAGCGCGAAACCGTGACGTCGCTATTGATTTTTACACACTCGCCGGACGCGCATCGCTGCAATTGGAGTTGCACGGAAAAACAGGAGCCGCAGGATGCTTTAAGGATCCGCAACGCATCCTTCCAGCGGCTAAATCAGAAGCTCTCTTGCAGGCGCAGCCGGCTGGTGCAACCGCGCCAGCGGAACCCCCACCAAAGATGATCAAACTGCGGCCATATGTGCCCTCCAAGCGGATTGCCATACGGGACTCGTCCATCGACGAGGATGCCAGCGATGATGTGGAGGACGAGGTGTTCATCAAGGATGCCAGGTCGGCGAAGGTGAGCCTGGAATCGAAAATCATGGGGGACTTGACTTAGCCAACTTATATAGGAGGACACAGAAGGGTTAAAAAAGAGTGCAGTGCTGACATTTTGTGCAGAGTTTCAAGTGTACTGAGAAAAAAAAAGTTGTAACTCGGTTTGTTTTAGGGCACACATGGGAAAAGGTCTTTTCTGCTCTAAAATATATGTAGTTTGACAAAAAGTATCTGATTTATTAGCTGCCATATGCCGCGCTCAACTTTATTAAAACACAGCTTGAAATCAAAAATATTTCATAAAAATGTTGATAATGTTAAAAATAATAGGTAAAGAAAATTTAAAGAATATATAAAGAATATTTAATGAATATTTAAAATTACGACATGACTCGCCATTTTCTGGCTTATTTAAAATTAAAATTTGCTTCTTCAAAAGAGGAAAGCGCAGTTGGTTTTCTCCCCGTGGAAACGATACATTTTTGGGGAACCAAACCTGAACTATAACTCCACCTTGATCCGATTTGCTCCACAGCGCAGCGAGGAGCAGGGATTGAAGCGGCCCCTGATGGCGCCGCGGCGCAAGCACAGCGCGGGATCCGCGCCCGGATCGGGATCGGGTTCGGGATCGACGCCCATAATGAAGCAGCACAGGAGGCGGCGCTGCTGCCGCTGCTGCGAGCCCTTCTGCTACGCCCTGGCCGCCCTAACGGTGCTCTGCGCGCTGCTCAGCCTGGCGGCGCTCATGCTGACGCTCTTCCCGCTGCCGCTGCAGCGCATCCGTCACTGGTGGCGGCCCGATCCCGCCCAGTTGGCGGCCCTCTCGGCGGGCTCAGCGGGCGCCGCCCGCATCTCGTACGGCAGCTCGCTGGGCAGCGAGTTCGTGCCCTGCACCCAGATCAGCGTCCAGAAGCGATGGACTCGCAGCCTGGCGCGCATGAACAGCGAGAGTCCGCTGCGAGCGGCTGACCTGAATGGCGACGGCATCAGGGATGTGGTCTTCGGCTACGGGGTGGACGACAACATACCCTACGAGGGCATCCCCCTGCCGCGCTGCCAGTCCGCCCAGCAGGGGGAGGAGGTGCCCTGCGAGGGCGGAGTGGTGGCCTTGAACGGACTGGATGGATCCATCCTGTGGCAGTCGTGGAGCGTGGCGAATGTCTTCTCGCTGCACTGCAGCGCGGATGTGGACGGAGATGGGGGCACCGATTGCGTGGCGGCTGGCAGATTGGGAGTAAGTTTACTATTTGGCAAGCGTAAGAGTTTTGAATCCGGACTTGACCACTCACCCTCTATTTGACCATGCAGATGATCTACGCCATTAATGGACGCACTGGCTCCGTAATCTGGAGCTTCCGCGAACTGGAAGTGGAAACAAACTCGCCCATCGTAATGGATCTGTACACGATCAATGTGCTGCGCGATCTGGACGGTGATTCGGTGCCGGAAGTAATAGCCGCCCACCTGGAGGAGCGCGAGGAGTCCAAGGCGGGGCACATAAAGCTGATTTCGGGAAAGACGGGCAAAGTGATCCGGAGCATTCCAACGCCCTACCGCGAGGAGATGTTCGTGCCCATTCAGCTGATCACGCAGGCGGATGGCACGGAGCTCCTGCTGATCGTCACCGGTGGCCAGAACACTCCAGGCGGCATTTACTCCCTGCGCCTGCACTCCCTGATGGCGCACACCAGTGAGAAGCACTTCACCCCGCTCCACAGACAACAGGGCTCCGGTCTGATGGTGCCCGCCGTGCTGACCGATCTGAACGGAGACGGGATCTCGGACGTGGTGGTGGCCGCCTTCAACCGCAGCGTGCTGGCCTTCGATGGAGCCAACTACACCATGATGTGGAACTACACCTTCCCGGCCAGCGAGTGCGTCAGTGCCATTGTGCCGGGTCTCTTCAACCACGACAGGGTCACGGATTTCATGGTGAAGTACAACACTGGACCGGGATTCCCGGTGTACTACTACTCGCAAACCACCATCCTGGACGGGCGCAACGGACAGCCCCTGCTGAACGCCATGATGACGGATGCAGGTGGTGCCAATAGTCTGCTGGGCGGCGTCTCCATCTCGCAGAGCTTCGGAGGCGACTTCTTCCTGCACTGGCAGCTGCAGTGCCGCAACCGTCCGGATGCCCGGGACGCCTACGAATTTGTGCCGGATAGCGACATTATACTCCAAGCCAGGGCGGACACATGTCGTCTGCGGTACAACGAGTCCACTGTGCTGAAGCTCTACGGGATTGCCAGGCACATCGAGCCGCCGGGTGCCGTCCTCTTCAGCACCGATGACCTGGAGGTTCAGCTGAATCGCACACAACGGCCGGCGGCAGCGGGCAAGAAATCCCCACTGAAGCATCCCAAGCTGCTCAAGAAACTGCTGGCCGGCAACCGGGAGCAACTGCTGCGCCAGGTGGCCGCCGGATCGGAAATTGCGAGTGAGAATGCCATCGGTAGTGGGACGGAGCACGCCGCCCGGCGCCCTAAGGCGCACCATCGACCCAATCCGCTGATGGAGCAGCAATTGCAGGAGCTACTGCCTCAGGGCGCAGACAACGAACCACCTAACTTCGGCATCGGAGGCGGTTACCCCAAGGAATTTGTAAGTATTTCGAATGGGTATTATTTAAATCTCGTGAGCTTAGCTAGTCAACTTACCATAACAACATCCCAACTCCGCAGAAGGACTACGATGCCTTGCAGCTGCCGCCAGAGAACGCGAATCCACTGCGCCTGCCGGAGGAGTACGAACTGGTGTACAACGACGAAGTGCCTCCGCTCTTGGAGCAGAGTGAGCGTGAGCGACCCATTCACCTGCGGTCCAAGTATCCCAGCGCCGGAAACCGCGACGTGCGCAGTGGATTCCTCGAGGCCAGTGGCAGCAGCATCGTGACCACCACCCAAGCCACGCCCAGCTCCACCGGACAACCGCTGTCCGCACAGTCCCCGCTGAGCCTGTGGGATCTGGAGCTGGACAACGAGGCGCGGGAGCAGGCTGCGGACGCCCAGGAGGAGAACAAAAAGCAGCGGAGGCGTCGCAAAAGACGTGAGAGGCCGTTCGGCATCACGACCACAGTGGCCGAGGATTCCGCTGGTGGCGAGGACTCCAGCGGCGCTGACTGGTACTTGGCTTCCATCTCTTCCACCGGCGTTTTGCTGAAAGCCCTGGGCAATGCCAGTTCCGCGCTGGACTTTGCCTTCGTCCTCAACATCCGCGAATCGGAGGCCTATCCGCCGCTCTTCTCGCCGCAGGATCTCAGCTGCGTCGAGGAGAAGGTCAGTGCGTACAAGAGTAAGTAGTCCAATCCCACGCGGTTTCAAAGTGTCCAAGAATCATTCACCATTGTCTGCGCTCCGCAGGCTACACCATCGACAACCTGCGCGTGCTGCGCAAACAGTTCCTGAAGCAGTGCCTCAGCGAGCGTCTGGTGGACGCGGAGCCCGCCCTCCCCAAGTTCGAGTCGCAGCTGGTGGTGACCCGCATCGGGATCACGTGCACCTGCCGCTCCCTGCGGCCGGGCGAGGTCTGCTCGGAGCTGGATCCCGCGGAGGCGCAGCGCTGGACGGAGTTCATGGGCAACTCGGGACACGGCTTCTATGCCAACCACTAAACGCTAATCGCCAATCGCTGGCCGCGGCGGCCTCGCCGGCGGAGGAGCGGGTGGCCACCTTTTGGCCACCGGGCTCCTGGCTGCAGCTTCCCGCGCCAGTCTATCTCTTTCTCTCGATGTCTCTGTCAACAGTCACTATTGTAATTTATCGTCATTTGCGTGTTGTGGGGTTTCTTGTAATCGTAACAGTATTTACCTGCGTGTATTTGTGTATATTTTACGAGTTCTTTTGACAAAATAAACTAATCCACTTACACCGCCTTTGTTGTGGGCATGGGGCCTCAACTTCGCGCTGATCCATCTAAGGATGCACTGGAACGCACTCGCTATTATCCTGGCCTTACATCGCCACCATCAGCGGTCCACCGGAGTCGCCACTGCAGGTATCCACTCCGTCCAAGTCCAGCAAGGAATCCTTTCTGCGCACCAGGTGACTTCCTTTTCCCGGATGATTTCGCGCTTCAGCACTGGGCTAAATCCATCACTTTGTGTGCCCCTGGATTCCTCCCTAAAGCTGGAAGAGAAACACCCATTACACTTTTTGACCATCCGTTTGGTGTACCAATGGAATCGATTACTCACCGCACTGGCATTTGCACTGACTATTGAATCGCCCGTGGACCAGGCGCACTCCACTCCGATGTCCAGATTTGAGAGGGCACATCGGTTGGCCAGGTTTCTGCAGTCCGGATGGTATGCTGGATTGTTGGTGGTGTTATGCCCGCGGAGACGGACGCCTTTGAGCATTGAGTCACTCAGAAATCCCAGAATCCCAGCACACAAATGGGAGCTGCGACCGTATAGCTGATGATTACATGCTAGTAGATGGGAATCCACACCAGGGCGACGTCGTTGTGCTACGCGTACTTGGTTGGATCGTAGTCCCCCTGGCATGTGAGCCTCCTCCTTGAGCCCCGGTTGATGCAGTCGGTGTTTCGGGCGGTTTGGTGCTCGCAGGACGCGTCGGAATGTCATGTTCGCCGTCGACGTAGCGAGTGTTGATCGGGGAGCCACTGCATCCGGGGGCTTGTTTCCGATCCGGAGTGAAGTGGCTCCGATATAGCAGCATGGTCAGCGGAGGAGTTGCCTTGTGCAATTCGTTAGCAAAGGAAATCAGCTAGAGGTTCGTATCAGTGAAATGAGTCATGCTCCATCTGAACTTCCTTCGTTTTCATACGGCCAGAACGGCTGAGCTGGTGATCCCTTTATAGTGTCGGAAACGCATACTGAAAAGTATTTTTCAACGAGTCTAGTGTACCCTTTTGCTCTATAAATACGGTCGGAAAAGGCAGGCGCAGTTCATGCAAGCTTCGCTAGGTGGCGCCTGTGTGCGCTTTCGGCACTGTCTCGCTCTCGCCTGCGAGTGCGAGTAACGGTATCTGACAGTCGAGGTAATCGACCACCGATCTTGTTAGTTTTGTTGCGGAAGTATTGTGTTTCAAATTGGAATATCCGAAATAAGACGCAGCCACATTTTCTTAAATTCCACAATTTAAAGATGTACTATAGAACACACGTTAGGTTGATGACACAACTGAGCAGGCAGATTGCTGGGAAAATATATCCCTGATTTATGATCTATGACTTTATACATTGAAATGTGCTAAGGAAATAAAAAGCGCTGTTAAGATAACTCCCCGCGTTCAGTTGTTTCCTTCCGCTGTTCCAAAGCCGCAGCGCCCCACTACCTTGACTGCCGCAAACAGCTGAGCGAAATTCCGGGCGACGCACCGCTGGCCAATAAATAAAAGCGAACTTTTGATTTATTTGGGTCTTGCATGCCCTGCCCCAGACTCAGAAAGCCAGCAGCATGGGCATCCTAGAGAAGATCGCGGAGATCGAGCGCGAGATCGCGCGGACGCAGAAGAACAAAGGTTTGCGAAGATTGCCGCGCTGGCCATCGGAATTTAGGTTAGGATTCTGTAGCTGGAGGTTTGCTAAATCTGCATGTTTTTCATCTCCAACCCAAAGCCACCGAGTACCATCTGGGCCTGCTGAAGGCAAAGTTGGCCAAGTACCGCTCCCAGCTGCTGGAGCCGTCCAAGAAGGGCGAAAAAGGCGAGGGATTCGATGTGCTCAAGAGTGGCGATGCCCGGGTGGCGCTGATTGGCTTTCCCTCCGTGGGCAAGTCCACAATGTTGTCCACTTTGACCAAAACTGAATCGGAGGCGGGTAAGTGCATCCCCACACCGCCGAAAGGAGCTCGCATTTCAATTTCACCACCCGACAGCAAACTACGAGTTCACCACTTTAACCTGCATTCCGGGCGTCATTGAGTATCAGGGTGCCAATATCCAGCTGCTGGATCTGCCCGGCATCATCGAGGGCGCTGCCCAGGGCAAGGGGCGTGGTCGTCAGGTCATTGCCGTGGCGCGTACCGCTGACCTGGTGCTGATGATGCTGGACGCCACCAAGCCCAATGTTCACCGGGAGCTGCTGGAGCGGGAACTGGAGAGCGTGGGCATTCGGCTGAACAAGCGCAAGCCCAACATCTACTTCAAGCAGAAGAAGGGTGGCGGCCTGAGCTTCAACGCCACCTGTTCCCTCTCGCGTTGCAACGAGAAAATGGTCCAGACCATCCTGCACTCCTTCAAGATCTTCAACGCCGAGGTCCTGTTCCGCGAGGACTGCACCGAGGACGAGTTCATCGACGTGGTCACTGCCAACCGTGTGTATCTGCCCTGTCTGTATGTGTACAACAAGATCGATCAGATCTCCATCGAGGAAGTGGACCGCCTGGCGCGCCAGCCAAACTCGATAGTGGTCAGTTGCAACATGAAACTCAACCTGGACTACATGATGGAGGCGCTGTGGGAAGCACTGCAGCTCATCAGGGTCTACACAAAGAAGCCAGGCGCTCCGCCAGACTTCGACGATGGATTGATTCTGAGAAAGGCAAGACTGCTTTCCAAAAATAATATTTTCCCTGCTTGAAATCCTACTAAAGCTACTCCTTTTATCTCAATGTTTAGGGCGTCAGTGTGGAGCACGTGTGCCACGCCATCCATCGCACGCTGGCGGCGCAGTTCAAGTACGCTCTGGTGTGGGGCACCTCCACGAAATACTCGCCGCAGCGCGTCGGGATTGCCCACGTGATGGCCGACGAGGACGTCATCCAGGTGGTGAAGAAATAAAGATTGTTGCAGATGAAATATATATTCTATGCTATACTGAAAGCGAAAGTCCAGTTCTATTGTACATAACGATATATTGAAACTTGCAAATGTGTGTTGCCCTTCTCACTTGGCTGCCGCATTGCTGGCGGAACTGGCCGCTGCTGCATAGGACTTGTTCATCAGAGCCGAGATGTTGGAGAAGGGCGTTGGACCGCTACTAATGCGTTGAGGTTCCGCCGACGGCAGCGGAGGATTGTCGATCCGCTCGAAAACGTTGGTGGCGTCTCGCAGGCGGTAGCGTCTTAGGTTTAGGTAGTGTTCCTTCTGCTCCTCCACACGCTGATGCACCTCATGAAGACGTCCCGCCAGCGAGATGAAGCTCTCATTAAGTTGGCGGAAGCCCCGCTTCAGGTCCTCCGGCGAAATACTCTGCGGATTGGAAAGCGCGTGCATGTGGCGTTCGGTCAGAGCAATCTGCTGGCGAAAGGCGATCAAATCCTGCTCGTACTTGGCCACCAGGCACTGAAAGTACTGGAACGGAGCACTGTTTTCGAACTGCAGACCGGCAGGGGTGTCCTGCGTGCGTTGGGCCATCTCCAGAGATTGAATTGCCTTGACGGTCTCTTGCCGCATCAAGCGGATCTGCTGATTGCTGCCCTCCACTGAATTGGCCATGTTCTGCAGCGCCCACTTCAAGTTCGTGATCTCGTGGCTCACATTCGTGAATTTGGAGGTGGAAGTCCGTCCAATGTCGGAGGAAATGGTCTTCTGCTGCTTGATATATACTTTTAGGGCATCCACCGTTTTTACTATCTCGTCGGGCACTTGGGTTTCCTTAATCTGGAGTAGTCAAAATAAAATGATTAACTTGTTTCTGTGCAAGACTCTTCGTCCATACCTTGATGCCGTCCTGCTTGTTGTCCCCCAGCTTTGGCTGCGTGGCGCTCACATCGATCCCTCCGAGCCCCACAAAAGTAGATGCTGCCGGGGCAGCTGCCTGTCCCGCTGGCTTGCCAAAGATTCCGCCTCCTAAGGTTGTCGTCGCGTTGGTGGTTCCCAGTTTCAGACCCGTATTGAAGGGCTGCGCCGTAGCCGTCGTCGTGGTTGTGTTGAAGTTTAAACTGGCCGCCGTGGTGGCCTGAGGCTTGGCAAAGGCAAAGGATCCAATGCCGGAGCCGAGAGCTGCTGGCATAGCAGCTGCCACCGTTGTGGCGGTAGTGCCGAATCCAAAGGCGGGCGGCGCGGTGGTCGGGGCACTTGTGGCCGGAGTGGCGAAGGAGAAGGTGGGTGCCACAGTGCCCACAGCTGGTGCTGGTGCTCCGAAGGCCGATGCTTGCGTGGCTGCTGGTGCTCCAAAGGCGGAGGTGGCGGCGGGTGCACCAAAACCGGGCGCGGCAGCTGGCGCTCCAAAGGCCGGCGTGGCTGCTGGCGCTCCAAAGGCCGGCGTGGCTGCTGGTGCGCCAAAAGCAGGCGCTGCAGTTGAAGTTGCGCCAAAAGCAGGCGTGGACGCAGGTGCTCCAAAAGCAGCCGTAGCAGCTGGTGCTCCAAAGGCCGGAGTGGCCGCCGGAGCTGCAAACAAGGAAGTGGTGCCCAGAGCAGCACCGAAGGACGTCGTGGAGGTGGCTGCTCCAAAGGATGGAGGCGGAGCAGTTGTCGTCGCCGGTCGCGCGCCAAAAGCAAAAGCGCCGGGAGCAGCGGTGGCGCCTCCAATGGGGGTGTTCGTGCTGGGCGTAAACATCTTTAGACACCCCTCTTAGCGATTTATACAGGAATTTCGAATAACTAAACTATCTTTACAACAAAATTCCAAAATTACTTTTGTTTAATGCCGAAGCATCTGTAGTTTAACTGCTAAGACAGAGATGACACTATCGATGATATCGATAAGTTGCAAATCTGGTTGTATAATGAAAAATATGTTGAGGTATTTTATTTCATTTATATTGATTTAAATATACACAATTTGGTTGAAAGTATTTAACCAATATGCTGCTTTATATAGTTCAGATTAATGTTTTTCAAAGATTATTGTGGTGGGTGTGGTGAGTATACGCCACTAAAACATGGTTGTTATTTGATACCAAGCGATAGCTTTCAGATTTAAAAATAATAATAAAATGAATAATAATAAATAATTGATATATAGTGTTAAAACAATATAGCAGTTACCTGCTTTATTTTATCTTAAAAAATGTCAATTTTAGTTTAAAATGAAAAAAAAACAATTTTTCACCTATCAACTTGACGTAAATAATTTAGCTTAAAGCATGTGAATTAAAACGTATAAGCCTTCAGATATTTTTAAGGAAAATATTATAGGTACTAAATGAATACGCCTATAAATACGATTACCTACACGTAAAAATATAAAAGGCGTTAGGCCCATCGATGTGTTATCGACCGAGCCATCTCGAAGAGATTCCCAGCAGCCAGCTTTCTGACACTCTGCGCACGCACACCAAGAAGCCACCGTGGTGAGTTTGCGTGTGTGTGACTTCGTCATATGACATTTTTCACAGTTCGTCGTCGATTTTGATTCCGTCGCACTTGCTTTTTTCGACTTGCTCAGTATACACCACGGCGAGGAATTAGAGAACTTGGGAAATTATGGCCAGCCAGACGCAGGGAATCCAGCAGTTGCTCGCTGCCGAAAAAAAGGCAGCCGAGAAGGTCGCCGAGGCCCGTAAACGTAAGTTTAATTCTGCGAAAAAAAGAAATCCAATTGGAAATGGCAGGGCGAAAAGTAACTGTGATTCTTTCACCAACCCGCCCCCCGCGCTTCCATAATCACCATCACCGTTGTGTGTGGGTCACATGATGTGGTGGAAAAAAGTAAATACAAGTCAAACCTCCATAACTCGCGAAATAGACCAAGTTGAACGATGTGGGCCTTATTTATAGCTGCTAGAGCTACAACTTAGCTGTAATGAGTAGTTTTTGTGCGAGTTGGAGGTTGGCACTGTGAGTTACGAAGGAAGGTCGCCTTGCGGGGGTTGCTAATTGCTTGATTTGCTAAGTGCCACTGATCTGATCTGCATCTCTGGGTAATCCCGCAGGCAAGGCAAGGAGGTTGAAGCAGGCCAAGGACGAGGCTACCGAGGAGATCGAGAAGTTCCGCCAGGAGCGCGAGCGCGCCTTCAAGGAGTTCGAGGCCAAGGTAAGATGCCACATAACGCGCCGTAGGGAAACTTACATATAATACCGTGTGAACCCGATTCCAGCACATGGGCAGTCGCGAGGGCGTGGCGGCCAAGATCGATGCGGATATCCGCGTCAAGCTGGCCGACATGGACCGGGCCATCCAGACCCGCAAGGACCCCTTCATCCAGGAGATCCTGCAGTACGTGTACAACATCTCGCCCGAGGTGCACAAAAACTACAACCACAAGTAGAGAGGTGGCCCCAACTGTGTGCTGTAAATTCAATGTCCACGTTCAACTCTAATCCATAATTTAGACCCGTAATAATAGTGGCTAATCTAACTGAAAACACTGCTGTATTATTATTCCATACATTAAAGTGAAAATTCGTTGTTGTTCCATGTAAAAAGCGAGCATGTTAGTTTGCCCCCCACTCGCGCGGGATTGTATTATCTTTGTTTTGTGTTCTGCCCAATACACGTTGTTGTTTTATCCGAAAAGTCATGTGTTTCAATTGTTTCCCTCCTTTTGGTCTTGCTCGCATTTTCCGTATCTGCAGCGCAGTCAGCTGCTGCGCGATAAGGTTTTCTCGCAGGTGCGTTTCATCGGTTGCCAACACTGGAGATGGCGATAGTCACGCTTTGGGTACCTAGAAAATGACATCTTAGTTTAATTTGAATGAAGGTCAGCAGGGATAATGAAATATTTAATATAAAATATTAAATATGGCAATTAATAGTTTAATTTTAATGAATTGTTTGGGGGTCAAGCGTATAGTAAACAAATTATAAGTAGTACGATCGGCATATGCCTGGCAATTGTCATCGTTGTGCTCTAACCTACATAAAAAAACATACATTTAATATAGCATATTGCAGTCGCGAATTCATTGAACCATTTTTGAGTTGTTATCAAAGTTCCCACTTTCGAACTTCCCGCCCAAGTATCGATATGTTATCGAGAGCCGACTGACCATATCCCACCACCTGAGCTTCCTTAGTTTGTTACAGAACATTGGCAGAAACGGTTTTTCGCTCTGTTGTCGGTCGCACTCAGCGGAAACTGGTTCATTCATAGTTATTAAGCAAACCGAGTGTAAAGTGCAATAGTTAGGTGTGATATTAGTAGTAGTAGCTCTACGAGCGGCACAGATGAAAGTGGACTGCTGAATTTGTGGCCACCAACACACACACACACACAGATGCAGATGCCTTGTGAAAGCACCAGAGAAGAGGAAGAGAGGAAGAGAGAGAGCGCAATTTAGCAAAACTGGCTAAATTTAAGAATTTCTCATCAACAAGATGCTAAATTTAGGCAGCGCCAGAGTCGACGCTCTGGAGGAGGCCACCTCGCCACCCCCCTTCTCCAAGGACGAGAGCTTCCAGCTGTTGGAGCGGAGCCCCCACACCCCCTCCCTATCGCCCACCTCCACCGTCCCGCTGGAGCCGCCCTTCACCACCCCCCTGGCTCCCTTCGACATGGAGCTGATGAAGCGCCACAATCTCCACGAGCGCCTAACGGGAAAGGAGAGCTTCTGGCGGGGGAGCGAGGCATCCCAGAGATTCCTGGACCAGGAGCAACTATCATCATCGCGTGAATCACTCGGCGCCGCCGACAAGAGAGCTCGATTCGCAGAAAGGTAACTTAACTAGGCCTTACTTTTACTAGCATACTGGCATACTAGCATACCAGCATATGAAAGCTCGAAAAGAGCGGGAAACCCCATTCAGACCTTTTGGGCCGAGGAAGTGGCCATTAAAGTTAATTGCAGCTGACTGCTTTTGTTGTCAGTCTTCCGTAATTGAGTTTCGCTTGTGTGGAAAACAGGGTGCCTAGAACTGAACTGATAATTACCATCAAACTAATAATGTATTTAAGATTGGTAGTTTAACAAGGATAAGAATTGATAAGATTGAGGACCAAGCATACCCAAAATGCACTGTAACACAATTAAGCCTGACTCATAGATATATAATTGTTTATAATTTCATTGACTACCCTGTATATCTTATCTCCCATTGAGGTGGCTGGAAAAGTACATTTGCCCAAACACATGATGTGCGATTCTTTGTACTCGGACAATATTTGGTTTGATCACTCACATCTGTCTGAAATATGCTGAGCAATCATTGCAGCTTTTTAGTGACTCACGGGTGTTAGGTGAGTCCCCACAGACCATTGGACAGTCGGTTACTAAACGGCAACTATTATTGTCTCGAGCTAATTTGCTTGCTTATTCGGTACTGGTTATCATGCCATTTTGCCCGACAGGAAATGGGAAACAAACGCACTGCTCTTGCTTAAGTAGGCACAAAGATACCCCTTATCTCGCCAGTGTGTGGATGCAGTGCACTTGGAGCTGAACGATCAGTCGCCGGGGCTTGGAGAAACATGAGCTCAAAGCTCTCTCGAGCGCTAACAGCTGACTGGGGAATGGATACAGTAGGTAGCTCGTGGGGATTGGGGCCACCGGCAAGTAAACCCAGCTGGTTGCCGCTCGTTTCTCAGTTTGTTGTCTTCGCTGCTGCGCGCTGGTCGCCTCTCAGTGCGCCTCTCAGTGAAACAAATTCGTTGGTTGCCATGGCCAACACTTGTGGACTTTTATACAGTGTTTATTAATTGTTTGCTCGGACAGGAGGTGAAAATTTCAATCGGCAGTTTTCCGCGGTAAATGCGATTAGGTTCTGTAAGCCCTGCAAGCCAAGATAAACCGATCACCTTTCTGGGAAACGGGTTTTCTGCCACATTTCCGCGTGTATTGCATTAATCATCGACTCGGGCGAAAACCAAAAGACAATATACTCTTTATGTGTGTCGTGTATCGCGCATCGTTTTTCGAGCAACTTGAGTATCGCGATCTTGTGGGATGAATAAGCCTGCGATGTGCATACTATATAATGCCTATATGATCGGTGGCATTTTAGCAGGAACGTCTAAATTATATAAGTGATTTTTCAGCCACTGCGAAAATATTGTACCAGAAAACAAACCCCACACATGTTTAATAAATCTTGTCTCTCTCACTCTCCTGGCCTTGATTAAACCAAATGCCGAAAATCAAAACGTGTGGGCCTCAAAGCAAACGGGGCCTATATGCAAACTTTAATTATATTTTCCATCATAGAAGTTGAAGATTAATTCGAGTTGTGCGAAGGCCCAACAGTGTAAAAATGCTTAAAGAACCGAGGTGCTCACACGAAAAATAATAACAAAAGAACGAAGCAACGAAGAAAAAGAGGGGAAACATAAGATTTATGCTTGTAATAGGTTAATTAACTATTACTTAAGCTAGTTAAGTTTCCCCTCCTTAATAGAAGTTCCAATTCATTTTGAACCAGAATACTAGTTCATAAATGAAGCTCTTTAACTTGGTTATCCCTCTAAACCTTCTTGTATTTCAAAGATAAATTATTTGATATTGTTTTAGCATTATCCATTTAATTAGTGTATATTGAAAAGACTGTACCACTGTTGATAACAAACTGCACTTATAAGTTAAAGCCAGACTGTATGCTTGAGTGCTTATCAGTAATAAACTATACTCTCTATACTTTTACTCATTTGCTATATGCATTTTAATGAAACCCGGGATTGAATCGCAAAGATTGCTCACCCCTTTGCACTTTGAAGCTAAACTATTCTATATCGATAATTATGAATCATTAGATATTTCACATCCAGAATCACATCTCATGGAGCTGCTTTTTAGCAAACAAATACCAAATGCCTCTAATAGATGTATTGTTTGTTAAAGCTTACGATGTAGCTCATTCAAGAGCTGTGAGTTCTAAGAAAATTGAACTTGAAAAATTGAGAAAATAACCCAGCATATGTTGAGATTTCTTGGTTCCTACACCTAATTACTTGGATTAACGGAGCAAACGTTTACTGAGGTCATCTTGTGCGCTTCCTTCCCCTCGCAAGTGGTCTCATTTAATGGCGCGGGTCGTTAAATTCCAGAAGCTCTGGCTCCGGCTCTCCCAGGAGGTGACCTAAATATGTTATTGGTGTTCTGATGGGATGTGCGTCCCATTAGGACCTTTCGGCACGACAGGAGTCGCCAGTCGGGAGTTTTACGTGTTTTGCTCCTGTTAACTCGCCTCAAATCGTACAACATTGGACTTTCCGCCTGAAAGCAATTCCGAGTTAACCATGACTTGCTATTATTTCGTAGTAAGCGTAATGCAAGGGATATTTACTAAAACTTTATAATGATTCATACGTCTCTAGAATAAGTTTATAAAAAAATTGCTACTCTAAGTGCCTTTCATATACTTTAATCCTACTTAAGCAGTCTGTGATGTGTACAAGCCAAAACTTTACTTAGCTAAATACGATCATTAACCTTATCTGTCACTGTCCATCCTACAGCAACGCACCCACGCTCCAACTGCCACAATCTGCCGAGCCCAGGGCCAATGGCAAAAAGCCCACTGGGGACAGGACCAACCCATCGAATCCAGCCGCTCCCCTTCTGCCAATGACTGATCCGGATTTCGTGAAGGGCAGTGGAGGCGGCGTCTACGATGATCGCGAGTGCAGTTGCCCCAGGGAGTTTTATCAGCGGGGTGAGATTAACACCTCGCTGTTCTTTGAGGACTGCATCCGCTCCATTGACTTCGTCCTGGCCTACAGGATCAATGCTCACGAGCCCACGGAGGTGGAAAACACGGAAAAGCGTCGGGTTTTCGAGGCGAATCTCATTAATCAGGGACTGGAGGTCGAGGCCAGTCAGAAGGACCAAATCTGGTTCGTTAAGGTAAGATTAAAGTGCTTACCCCTTTCATCATGTTTTCATATACGTTGGTTTTAGATCCATGCTCCTTTGGAGGTCCTGCGACGGTATGCGGAAATTCTGAAGCTGCGCATGCCGATGAAGGAAGTAAGTTAATCTTTTCTATACTGCACGCCAAAATCAAAAATATATAGCATTCTTTTAGGCCCTACTAAACAAAAAAGGTTCCCGAAAGTGTCATTTATTTATTTATTATTGTAATTTGTATTATTTTATATTTTGTTTGTTTTAGTCGTTATGCAATTTGCGCATATATGAAAGATCGAATCGCCTACGAAATGCGGCTCATTACCTGACCAATAAGGTTGGCCAAAGCGTTGAAGTTGAACCAGTTAAATATTTTATTATTAATCCCCTAAAAATAATGTTTAATTACTATATTTCCTTAAAATTGCGCTGTAAGTTGTTTGAAATCGAACTAAAATACCCAGCCTAACCTTGATAGATTTTGTACAAAGAAAACGTAACTTAGAACAAACCGGCTTGAATGTTATTACTTCATTGTTATAATACTTTTCTAAATACTAAACGACTCTTCAATACCTTCAGATTCCAGGAATGTCCGTGGTTAATCGATCGACCAAAAGCGTGTTTTCTAGTCTCAAACATGTTTTCCAATTCTTTCTGCGCAACATTTATGTGGACGAGGAAATTTTCCCAAAGCGCGCTCATCGATTCACCGCCATTTACAGTCGGGATAAGGAATATCTGTGAGTTCAAGCAAACTTAACTTACAATTTCCTGCTTATTTGATTTCGGTTTTGCCTGGCAGCTTTGACATCCGACAGGATTGTTTTTTTACCACCGCCGTCCGTTCCCGCATCGTAGAGTTCATCCTAGATCGCCAGCGATTTCCTGCCAAGAATCAACATGACATGGCCTTCGGTATTGAGCGGCTGATTGCCGAAGGTGTCTACTCTGCTGCCTATCCACTCCACGATGTATTAGATTGACTCTTTGTTAAATTGTGAAACTAAACCATGTATTTATCACAGGGCGAAATAACCGAGACGGGAACCATGAGGGCGCTGCTGTACAAACATTGGGCCTCTGTTCCCAAATGGTATCGCTATCAGCCCTTGGATGACATCAAAGAATACTTTGGTGTCAAAATTGGTGAGATTATGCAATTGAGAATTGTATAAAGAAAGTGTAATAACATATAGTTATCAATTTTAGGCTTGTACTTCGCCTGGCTGGGCTACTACACCTACATGTTGCTGCTGGCCTCAATAGTGGGTGTCATTTGCTTCCTATACTCATGGTTCTCCCTTAAAAACTATGTGCCTGTGTAAGTTCATTTAAATATTATTCCATAGAAAGTTATCTTATTAAATACTATTGTTTCCAGGAAAGATATTTGCCAGAGTGGTAATACAAACATAACCATGTGTCCTCTTTGTGATTGGTGCAACTTTTGGGACCTGAAAGAGACCTGCAACTATGCCAAAGTAACATACCTCATTGACAATCCCAGCACCGTGTTCTTCGCCGTCTTTATGTCCTTTTGGGCCACCCTGTTCCTGGAGCTGTGGAAGCGGTACTCCGCCGAAATAACGCATCGCTGGGATCTGACGGGATTCGATGTGCATGAGGAGCATCCGCGACCACAGTACTTGGCTCGCTTGGAGCACATACCGCCGACGAGAGTGGATTATGTGACCAACATAAAGGAGCCTACAGTTCCCTTTTGGCGCATGAAACTTCCCGCCACCGTGTTCAGTTTTTCAGTGGTACTGCTCCTAATTGCGCTGGCCTTTGTGGCCCTGCTGGCAGTGGTTGTATACCGAATGTCCATGCTGGCCGCTCTTAAAGTGGGTGCTAGTCCCATGACCACCTCTAGCGCGATTGTTCTGGCCACTGCGTCAGCAGCCTTTGTGAATCTGTGCCTGCTCTATATACTTAATTATGTATGCAAATAGTTTTATTTTATCGAATCTTGTCTGCTAATACTACGTTACTTTTCAGATGTACAATCATTTGGCGGAGTACCTGACAGAGCTGGAAATGTGGCGCACTCAAACTCAGTTCGACGACTCGCTGACCCTTAAAATTTATCTGCTGCAGTTTGTCAACTACTATGCCTCCATTTTTTACATTGCTTTCTTTAAGGGCAAGTTCGTGGGTCATCCGGGGGAGTATAATAAGCTTTTTGATTATCGCCAGGAGGAGGTGAGTCCTTTAATGGTATATCTTTTTGTAGTTAAACTAATGTACTCTATAATTTACGTAGTGCTCTTCGGGCGGCTGCTTAACGGAACTGTGCATCCAGTTAGCCATTATAATGGTGGGCAAGCAGGCATTCAACACAATTCTTGAGGTGTATCTACCCATGTTCTGGCGAAAGGTTTTGGCCATTCAGGTCGGCCTGTCGCGACTGTTTAACAACACCCCGAACCCAGACAAGACGAAAGGCGAACGCTGGATGCGGGATTTCAAGCTACTGGATTGGGGGGCCCGAGGTCTGTTTCCAGAGTATTTGGAGATGGTCTTGCAGTACGGCTTCGTAACCATATTTGTGGCCGCCTTTCCGCTGGCGCCATTTTTTGCCCTACTAAATAATATACTGGAGATGCGTCTGGATGCAAAGAAACTATTGACCCACCACAAGCGACCTGTCTCACAGCGAGTTCGAGATATAGGAGTGTGGTATCGCATCCTGGACTGCATAGGCAAACTTAGCGTGATCACAAATGTAAGTAGGCTTGAAGTAGAAGCGTAATAAACTCTAAACTCGATCATATTTCTAGGGATTCATCATTGCCTTCACCTCTGACATGATTCCGCGTTTGGTGTACCGACATTATGTGAACAAGCACGGCACTCTCGATGGTTACCTCAACTTTACGCTATCGGAGTTCAAAGTCGCTGATTCACCCACCTTGTACAGCTTAGCTGGCGATCTCTCCAACATAACAACGTGCAGGTGAGTAGAATATATTGAATAACTTTATGAAATTCTTTACTCATCAGCTAACTTGTTTTCAGGTACGCAGACTTTCGACTTCCACCATCCTCTCCAGAAAAATACACATTGAGCAGCATGTTCTACATAATTCTGGCCTGCCGATTGGGTTTTGTGGTCGTCTTTGAAGTGAGTATACTTGGGCCAACATGTATTAGTTTAGTTTTATTTAAATCGATTCCAAAACATTAAATCCTTGATAGTGGTTTATATCGGGGTTCAGGCATTAAATGTGTGAGGATTTTGGGGAATGACTTCAACATTCTCGCTGGGCGCAGACTTTAGCTTTCGATACAGAGCATAGATACCATACGAAAATAGCGCGTTCAGCACTGAAATATATTAAAAAGTATTAAAGAAGAGGTATACTGTAATGGCAATGGGGTAGCTCACCTATAAATACGCCAAAGATTAGGCTTCTCGCTATTCGACGATCCACTGCAGCATCAACTTCATCAATTCTCAGCTCCAGACTCACAAAAATTCCCGTTTCAACGACCAATGATAGACAGGAGTTTATCAACCATGGAGCAATACACACGAGACGTTTCTGGAAATATTTCATTATATTGTTGATAAAATAAGCAATGTGCTTGGGATATTTAATATACCTTACCTGTTTAATGCCGTCGACAAGAATACAGGCCACCATTAGGTTTATCATTGCCTTTACCCAAATGATAAACGTTGCTGTCATATAGAAAACCTGCGAGAACTCCCGCACCCACAGATAGTTCACTGTAATAGTTGGGTTTAGAAAACACGTTTACTTGGCTATTGCTTTTTAGTTACCCAATGTGGAGAAGAAGGTTCCAATGGGAGTCAAAGCTTCCACTTCGGTATCCTGCTCCCATGTTTCAATATCCATGAAATCAAGGTATAGATAATAGCTCGAGGGTCCCAGTATGCTCAGAGCTAAAAACAAGTCTCCGCAGGCTATGCAGAGGCCCACCGACGACAGGCTTAGGAATTCAAAATACTTCATCTTAAAGACGGCCCAGTTAATGTGTACAATATTTAGACCGATTTTGTTTTCGTATGGTTCTCTAGGTTTTCCCGTTTCAAAGAGATTCAATAATATCCTTTTGTGTATTGCGTAGTTTTTCCTTTTTTACAATTTCTATATCCTTCTTAAAATTTTCCGTTTTGTATTTAATTTTCCTTTAACACGTCCGCTTGGCTCGAGGTATGCACAGCTACTAACTAAAGTTTTTGACTCTAAGTAGAACTAGGGCTAATTATCCGTTTAGTTTTCGTTTGGTTCTTTATGTTTACCTTTCATTCTTCCCCGGCTTTCTGCTTTTCTTATGCTGCAAGAATCCAAAGTCCATCGAGTCAAGTATGTTGCATGTGTTGCATGTTTGTTAGGCGGTGTGCTGCTGTGTCGGTTTTTGTTTCTAAGGGGTTTCTTTTTCGAATAGAACTCGCCGATTTCGTCCCCAATACGCATTTTATTAGGGTTGAGGCTAGCACCTGCCTAAGCTGCACTTAGCCAATTCAGTTTACTTGACTGGAAAGTTGTCACTTTGTAGGCTTCATTTGACCCCAAATTCGCAGGAAACGCCATAGAAAAATATTGTAAATCAGGGGCGTGTGATGATGAAATCTTTTGCATAATTTAGTTGATGGCTTGCTTTTTGTTTTCAGAACTTTGTGGCACTGGTGATGATTTTGGTGCGGTGGTGCATTCCGGACATGAGCGTGGAACTGCGCGACCAAATCCGACGGGAAGTATATGTGACCAATGAAATTATTATCGATCAAGAGGCCCACCGGGCTCGTTTTGGTATGTGATGCAATTTAACTTTTTATACCCGTTACTCGTAGCGTAACCCACATTTTTTGTAAATGTTGTAATTTTTTTTACCTTCTTATTAGTCTTGTAAATTTCTAAAGATTTGCAGAAAAACTTTTTATGTAATTTGTTTGATGGTATGATGTAGAAATTCAAAAAAATTAAGAAATGTCTCAAGGCTGAAGTTCTAAACTCCATAACTCAACTTATCCTTATCGGATTTTGCAGTGGCATACCTCTAAATGTTTCTGGGAAATTCTCTAAAAAAAATTGGATTTAAATTTTTACTACATTTTTTAAATTCAGTTTTTTTGGAAATTATACCCGATACTCGTAGAGTAAAAGGGCAGACTAGATTCGTTGAAAAGTACGTAACAGGCAGAAGGAAACGTTTCCGACCATATAAAGTCATATTCATTATCAGCATCAATAGCAGAACTTACTTTTTTCCCAATTTCTACTGATATTCCAGAAAATGTTGAAATTTCACGTTTGCACTTCCACTAGCTGAGTAACGGGTATCTGATAGTCGGGGAACTCGACTATAGCATTCTATCTTGTTTTGCTTATAAACTTGACTTACCGTACGTTTCAGAGCGTGCGAAGCGTTGCAGTTCGGTGCTCCAGACGCCAGTTGACCAGGACATGGATGCTGCCTCCATTCAAGAGCCTAATGCCAAGTTTATAAACATTGAAAAGCTCCTTAATGAAAATCTTACCCAGATCGAAATGGATGCGATCATACACGGCGAAAATGCAATCACAGGAATTTCCGGTGCAGATTGCTTAGACGAAGTGCACAAAAAACTCAGTGACTAAGTTAAAAATCATTTAAAGTGATTATTTGTGTTACGGATGTTCCTTTCAGTCACTTAATTAGTCCTTAGCTATGTCATTTTTATTATTTTGTTATCTGTAGCGATTTATTTGCTACTTGGTTTCAAGCTTTACTCATGCTTTCTTTTTTGTAAGAGCCCAGTAAATGTTATATAGGTTATCCAATTGTATGATACGTTAATTGAAAACGATTTATTTAAAGGCTCAAACTTACATGAATGCAGCCCAAGCGAGTGCCAATCTATAAACGAGCACAATTATGCTTTTAAACATTAGTGAACATTACGAAATGTAAAAAGAAATCTCTAACTTATGTTAAATAACTCAGGCTCTCAAATGACGCGTACATGAACATTTATTTTAGATAGCGTAACATATGTAAATGTATTTATTGCATACATTAAACCGTATGTATATTGATGTTGATACACTGGAATCTCTACTTAATGTTGATCATATCAATAAAAATAGTCAAATATTGGGATAGATAAATTGATTCTAAATGCGGTTTTAAATAATTTGGTTGATTTTCCAGACTCAAAGCTTAGAATGTTTTGTTAGTTGTAATAAAACAGGTTTCGTAAATGATCTTGTTTGCTCTAAAAAAGTTGTTTAGGTCGTTTTGTTAATATTAATTCTTCTAACACGTTAAGTTTGTAGCAGACGTTTGAAAGAAACTTATTTTATCCACATTGTATGTATGTACACTCATTACTCGTTGAAAAGGTTGATTGGAATCGATTGTTCAATGTATATTTACTATAACTTACCCTTTTAAACTAAAATTATTTCGCTTTTCGTTAGCATTACATAGTTGTGAATGTCGATATGCCCCAGTCACATATCGTAGCGCTCTGTGACGCCATCAGCCATCCCTGTTCGGCTAGAACGCCCCCCTTTCGCCGCCTGAGGGGGTGAAAGGTGGATTGGGGATGGTGATGGTGATGGGGCGGGGAAGTGGGAGTGGGAGGGATGGTTCCAAGTGGCGCAACAAGCATGCATTTGGGCCAAGCACATTCGGCGCCACAGCAGGCGACTTCCTCAAGATACAGATACACGAGCACGATGTATCTGAATGTCTTGGGTATCTGGGAGTCTCTCGCGCGCTCGCTCTCGCTCTCTACCTCTCTCTTTCCCGCCGTGGGTGCGCATGAGTCGCGACAACGGTGACGTCACTCGTGAAAAGCGTTCGCGCTCTCAGCTGTTTTGGACCGCCAGCTACGCGCACATGGCGCTACGGCGGTATTGTGAAAACACAACTCGCATACATTTTCATTCGCTTGCCTCGTTTTCCGCAGTGCAGAGCAGAGGCTGAGCGAGCGGTTGACTCCTGCCTTCAGTTGGGCTACTTGGTTCAGTGTACGTCGCGGATTGGCAGGATAAGCATCGCAGGACGCTGGCCGAGATGCCGGGCTCGATGATACTGGTTCCTGGCAGTGCATTCGTTTATTGCCCCAAGGCGTTGAAGCCCTTGGCGGCGTTGCCCTGGGATATCTGCTCGTAAGCAGTGGTCCGTTGTCCTGGCAACTGGGAGTTCATAACCAGTCCTTGCGGCGGTCAGGACTCGCATCTCTGGGTGAGTCAATTAGTGTGCTGGCCCTCGTTTCATTTGTCTTTATTACTTTCATAATTAAAAGAGCATTCGGCGGTATCAGCTCATCCGTTTGACCTTTTGCGGCTTGCTGCATTACCCATACGCCCCGTGGTCCGACTTCCTCAGTGTCGAAAAATGACCAAAACACCTTAATTAACCTAATGCAGTACATTTCCACTGCTGTACGAATTTTATTTAATTTAAAAATGAAGTGAAGGTATTATACATGAATGATTGGCGCACGAATAAATCACAATTAAACACATAATACTCACTTTACACGTTAAAAATTATGTTTGAAAATGTAAAATGCTAAACTTTTGCTTACTACTACTGTACGAAATGCTTTTCTTCGAAATTTATTTAATTTAAAAACAAACATTCTCGTTTTCTAAGAGTTATTTAGACTTAGACGTGAATATAATCACAATATAAATCACAATTAAACACATAATACACACTTTGCAGCTTAAAACGTAAGTTTGCAAATGTAAAATGCTGAACTTTTGTGCTGCAATCGATGGCGGGTAGCAATGTTGGCAATTATGTTTTGTTTGGCGCCGTGCAACTCCCCCTGCCCCTCATCCAGATATTGATTTTTAGTGCCGGCGCCGGCACATACTCGTATTTGAGCAACCAAAGTTGAGGCTCCAATGTCCCCCAGCCGTCAGGAACTGCAGCGCCCTTTGTGCGTTTTGCCGGGGGAAGGACTTCGCCAGGGGTTCGGCTCTTTGTGCTGACAGACAGTAAGTCCCACTAACAGGCAACGATTTTTATCAGTGCAAGAAGACCACGAAAGTTGTCTCCTTTTTACGGCAAAAGGTTCCTTGAACCGCAGCGGAAGGGACAATTGCTTGGGGAAGGGAACTTTGGCCATGAGATGGCAAAAAACTTTTGCAGCTTTCATGCTAATGAGATTGATAATTTTATTGATTTAATAATTCCGACTAAGTGAGTCACTCTTGCAATCCCCACAATCCCCATTGATTATTATTTCATTTCCGTCGTGAAATGACTGCCATCGCTTAAGCTTGGCCGTTTTAATCATTTACAAATACGATGGATTTGCCCAGTCGCCAGCTGACAAAGTGCCGCCTGCCTGTAATTACCCTTGAGGAATATCCTGACCAATATTCCACCCAGTCGCCCCCACCGTCTCCCATTACACATGTGCTCACATGGACCCCCCGATGTCCCCAAGTTGGCGCTAAATAATGCACAGCAACACAAAGTGTTTCTAGTGTTTCTAGTTTCGGTGCCGCCAGCTCTGTTTGCTCCACTCGGAAGACGCCGACATGACATTGAATAATGATGTTGTGAGCTGTGAGTTGGCGTTATTAATGCTTTCTCAGGCGTAAATGTGCAATTTTTGAATAACATGGGGCCATCAAACTCAGCCCGACAACTCACTTAGGACGAGCACACATTTTTGTGTTCTCAAATGCAAAGGAAACAGGATACCGGCCTGTTAAATCAATGAAGTGTGCGAAATACGTCCTGTGAAAGGTCAGGGATTTGCCGAGGATGTCACATTCACATTTATATTTTATTTGTATCAAACGCACGTCTTTTTAACACTCACTAGCATAACTTTTATGTACACACCGCAATGTGCTAACAATTAATAAATCACCAGTTTAATAGCCTTATTCACCTTTCCATTTCACTTTTCTTCACTGAAACCGCTTCAAACTGCATATTACGAACTAATTGCGCAAATTGCGAATGCACAGTGTATGAAAACGAACATTTCCGGTGCTGAAAGAGATTGATATAGGCGAACGATAACATTAAATCGCAAATTTAATTTGTGTTTTTCAATCTTATTCCATTCCGTGTTTTCCTCACTAATAAATAAATAGCAAAGGCACCAATTTGCACCGCCCATTGTTGGGCTATCAAAATACAGAAGCCACGAAAGAACAACAAGTCAATAATGAACGCAGTTGCCTTTCAACTTTGAGCATAATGGGAGGAAATCAAAGAAGCGTCGAGTCGCCGAATTTTCGGCCTTTGTATGCACTTTCCAAGCTTTTCCTTCATGAAAATTCATATGCGTGTATATCACTGCGGGGCACGCGATTTGCGTGCTTATAAATTAAGGCAACGTCTGGCTGTGTATTTTCCGCTGTCCTCGAGCAGCTCTATAAATAGAGCTGACCCCCTGTAGTCCCTCAAAGACATTCGATGTTGGGTTCCGAGTTCCGAGTTGCCAGTTCCCAGTTCCATTTACACGCCAGGAGAGCCTCAATCGCGCATTCCAAGCAGCCGCACTTGTCGCTTTTCCCGAGTGCCGGAAAATGTATTGGCAGAATGGTAAACTTGATGGCAGTTTTCAGTGCTTATGCATGGACCACACACAATGCTCGCTGATGATTTATGAGTCTTTGAAA